TATGGAAGATGTGCTGAGAGCTGCAAAGGTCTTGTGTGGTAGATTTAGACTGCAGAAGAGCATCGAAGCTTCTTAATGTGGCATTAGACTTTTTTTAGTTCATCAGTATCTACATATGCATTTAGAATGTTTATAGGTTACTCAACCCATAGTACTCAAATTCAGATGAGATACAATCTACTTTTAGTCTTTGGGTGGCTTGCAAAAGAACTGGGAATAATTTACTAATGACCTTAATATTACGACCTCTAGTGTGATTGCTGGGTGGAGTTTAAATTTGAGTTCCTTTAAGCTTACTTTGTTCTTGTTGAATGTTTAAATTTACATTTTACTTGAGGAAGAACTCATTGTATTGTTTTCTTTAAAATTACCATTGAAGTAATTATAGGTGAAGGGAAAGTAATTAATGCAGTTTATTTGTTTCGTAGACTCCAGTAAGATATACAAAGACTCTGCTATTACCAGTTGTTTTGGTGGTTTTTGGGGTAATCATCAAAAGGGTAAGTGAGTGATATAGTGAATCGCCTTTATCTTGAATTTACTTTTTACGTTTTTTGAAGGGATTGCTTTGTATTTTTAGATGGGAAGAAGTTAGTGTGGTGGGTTAACCTTGGCTGCCTGCCAGGTGCCCACCAAGCTGTGCTCTCATTCCCTGTCCTCAGCAGGACAGGGAAAAAAAAAAGAGTTGAAAAATCTCATGGGTCAAGACAGGGACAGGGAGATCGCTCATCGATTTTACTGTCATGAGTGAAACAGGCTCAAATTGGGACAGATTAATTTACTGTCAATTAAAAATAGATCAGGATTGTGAGAAACAAAAACAAAACTAAAACCACCTGCTCCCTCTTTCCAAGCTCAGTGGGTCCCTCCCACAGGATGCATTTCTCTAAGAACTGCACCAGCATGGTTCCTTTCCACAGGGTACAGTCCTTCAGGGTCATAGCTCCTGCCAGAAAACCTCCTTCTAGGTGGGCTTCTCTCTGCGAGCTGCAGTTCCCGTCTGGAGCTTGCTCCTGTGAGGGCTGTTCATGGGTTGCAGCTTCTTTCAGGCCATGTCCACCTGCTCTGGCATGGCGTCCTCCACAGGCTGTGGGGTGGATACCTGCTCTACCTTGGTCCTCCATGGGCTGTAGGGGAAAAACCTGTATCACCATGGTCTCTCCACAAGATGCAGGGGAATCTCTGCTTTGGTGCCTGGAGCACCTCCTCCCACTACTTCACTGACCTTGATGTCTCCAGGGTTGTTTCTTTCCCATTTTTCTCATTGGTCTCTCTTAAAGCTGCCACACAATGTTTTTTACCCATTCTTAAACGTTATCAAGAGGCACCACCAACGTCACTGATAGCGCTCAGCTTTGGCCAGTGAGAGATCTGTTTTGGAGCTGGCTGGAACTGGTTCTGTCTGACATGGGGGCAGCCCCATGTCTCTTCTCACAGAAACCACCCCTGCAACCTCCTTGCTACCAAAACCTGGCCACATAAACCCAGTACAGTTAGATAAAATACAGGTTTTCAAAAATATTTGCTTAAAATTCTGTGTTCTCTTTACACAGATTTTTTGCAACGGTCCAGTCCTGAGTCAGTGGTAAAACTTGTTTAGTTGTTAAGCGCCAAAAAAATTTCTGTCACTTAGCTGATGAGTACTATAACTGAAGTTTATAACTGTTTTTGTAAATTTGATTATGTATAATTTGTGTAAAAACAGCTTACAGTTTACACAGGAACAGATGGGATAACTGCTAACTGCCTGGCTAATTAAACATCCTCAAAAAGAATTTTTAGCTAAAACATTGCATGTCTTTATCTTAGCATTATCTCAAAATGAGGTTACCCAGGTGTAATTTAGTTTAGCAAATGTTGAAAATGCTTTAGAATGCTTTTGAAAGTTGATTCAGACTTTTTGGTGGCTCTTGTTTTCTTCAGGCAATTAAATATCTTATGTGGGCCTTATCTCAGGCAGGCCAATATGAAAGGTAAATATTGTTGTCTTTTTCAATGTAAAACTGAATTTTCTGCTGGAAGTTTATTTGATTTGTTATATGCTGGATAATTCAGAATTCTAAATTATGTTGGTCCTTTTTGAAGAGTAAATTATGTATAGTTCAGTAGCTGAGTGGCTTGGATGTGCTATATGTGATATTTTTATAAGATGTCTAGAACTAAGTTTAGCTGATGAACTTAGTTTTAGACATCTTAACCCTCTTACCTCCAAGTTTTCTATTTAATAATTTATTTTTCTTCTGTGTTCCTAAATCAAGATTTATTTATGTGTCTATTTGCTTTTCTTTTATAAGTAGTGAATGCAAATTCTTTCCTCCCCATTGTTTGTTTTTTTTTTTTTATGGGTTACAAGGTACCTGAGCCTCATCTTGAGGAAGGGATCCCAACTGTATTGATTTTATCTTCTAAATATCTGCAATACATGCTCTATCACAGCCATTTGGCATCACTTGTTGATGCTGTGCTCAAGAGCAGTCAATTTATGCAATTGAATCTTGTCATTTCCCTGACATATCTTTTTGCTTCCTGATTTTTTTAATTTGTTTTTTAATTTATCACTAATCATTTCAGTGATCTCTGCTTTCCATAGTCTAATGACCATTATCAAGATCTCAACAGATGTGAGCAGGATTCAGCATCCTGTCTTCATAGGTGTTTTTGGAGAGCAACAAGTATATATGATTTTGACTCTTTTCACATTTGTATTTCCTTCTGAGAATCCAAAACCAATTTATCTAGTATCTGAGTAAATGATGGACTCTCTTTTTGGTACCAGTGCTATGCCTGTTTTATGTTACTGAAGTTTTATTCTCTAAATAAGCTTTTCTATATATGAAATAATTCCTGGAAGTAATTAAAAACCTGCTAAAATTAATTTTCAGATTTCCAGATAGATATGGGGATTGAGAAGGATAGTTACTAATTTGCAATATATTTCAAAGCCTGCTACAGAGGGGACAAAAAAAATCTGTGCAGGCGCTGACTCATGCTTACTGGATTAGTTCAGCTGTCTAGAGCTCTACTACAGATGACTTCAAAGTAAAACCAGTGCTTCTGTAGTACATAAACAAATAATGTGATTTTCTATTTTTTATTCAGAGAGGAACGTTTTAACCACGGCGAGGTAAGATTCATTTTCTGCAAAATTTTATTTGTATGTTAATGTGACTACTCAGTATTGTAATACAGGTTGCAATGGTCTGATCCTGATATGTGGTCTATTTGAAGCTAAGTATTTGCATCTTTTATTCCCTTGTCTTGAATTGGGTCCAGTATGTCACCAGAATAACTCTGGAATGTTGAACAAAAAATTACCAACTAATGGTGGGGTGGCAGTGCAAGAGAGGAGTCTTTTGGGCTTTTGCTGTAGCAGTACAGAAAGACACTGAAATTATGCTGGACCTCCCATTTTCCCCATAAAGACTGAAAAGGAGATTGGTTCCTTTACTGGGGCTTCACGTGACAGATGTTAAAATTCTAATTTGAAATATGCCATAATGAAAATAATTCTACATGTGGTTCTTTTATTAAAAGTATGCACAAAATCTAATTGAATGGCAGCTTTCTTATATGGTTTCTTTGCGATTAAGTTAGCAAGGGCAGGCAAAGCTTACTTAACATCAGTTTATTTGTGGTTTGTGCTTTTACCATTCAAAATATGATAATCAATCCATTAGATAAAAGCAATGATTGCAAAAATGCTTGTATGATTTATCACAGCACTTTACAAATAACATAGGTTCAATCTTAGGAGTGGTGAGTGACATCTCTGCTTTTAACCTCTTTTGAGAATACTAAAGCAAGCTGCCTGTGGTTGTGCGAGTACCAAGGATGATATTATTTGCTTCTTTCATGTCATACTTAGGTATTTTAGGTATGAAATAGCAAGGTCTCCTCACTTCTATAAAGAGGTTATACAAGGAATTTTACATATGTTATTGCCTGTTTATGTTTCAGGATCTTTTGCATAGCTAGCCATTTCTCCAGCTCCTTTTGGGTTTATTAATGTTTATTATTCCTGTTGTTCCGTACTTGAGCATACTACATACACTTTAGAAAAAAGGTAACACAAAGTTCTTACCACTATCTGAAATGTGAAGATCTTTACTTTGACTTCGACTCTTTTTCAGACAAGCTCATCATTTAAGCTATACTGAAAAAGAAGTCGCATGTTTAAGACAAATGAGAAGTATGCAAATATTATGCTTTTGTTTGTTTGTTTGTTTTTGCAGCTGGTATACCATGCATTGCAGCTGTTGGCATACAGTGTCCTAGCGATTTTAATCATGAGACTAAAACTGTTTTTGACACCACATCTATGTGTTATGGCTTCCTTGGTCTGTTCAAAACAGGTAAGATCTTTTTTTCTAATCCTGTAGCTATCTCACTACTTAAAGCATTACCCAGATATTTGTCCCAAAGCAAATTTCTGTGTGTCTAATTGCTGAATCTGAATGCACCAGATAAAAATAAACCAGATTATATTGCCTGTTGAAAAATATGGTTGTAGAAGTTCCATTCTCCCCTCTCCACAAATAAAGCAAATGTTTTGTTTTATGTGACTTGTCCAATTGCATTATTATACAAATTAATATGCTGTGTATTGATCCTGAGCATAGGGAGACGTGCACTGGATTTTACTGTATTTACGCACTTCTGTGCCATTGCGAGTTTTTTTATTGGCTATTAATTTTATCCAAACAGTGTTTGACTTTGTTTACACTGTGTTTTCACAGCTCTTTAGAGCTTATTGCCTTGCATATTTTTTGTGTATTTAATTCTTTCCAGAAGTGTAGTTTTGAAGTCTTGCGTGTTGAAAACATTTCAGCCTTAAAAATCAAAAGTCATATGCCTAACTCAGATTTAATTTTCCTAGCTTGAAATCATCCATAACATAAAATATTACTAGATTTTTCTCCAGATATAACATGGCATAGAACTGGCTTTCCATGTTTTAGTATCTGTTTTTGAGAAGTGAACTAGATTCTATCTAAATAGCTGTTTTAGAAGCTCTGCAGTTGTCTTGGGAGCAGACAGGGAGGTAGATTGAAAACTGGCTGAACGGCTGGGACCAGAGAGGGGTGGTCAGTGGTGTGAAGTCTAATTAAAGGCCCGTAACTAGCGATGCACCCTAGGGGTCAAATACTGGGTCCAGTCCTGTTCAACATCATTAATGGTCTGGATGATGGGGCAGAGGGTACCCTCAGCAAGTTTGCTGATGCTACAGAACTGGGAGGAGTGGCTGGTACACCAGATGAGTGTGCTGCCATCCCAAGGGACCTCAACATGCTGGAGAGATGAGCTGACAGGAACTTCATGCAGTTCAACAAAGGGAAGCACCAAAGTCCTGCGCCTGGAGGAACAACTGCAGGCACCAGTACATGCTGGTAGCTGACCAGCTGGAAAGCTGCTTTGCAGAAAAGGACCTTGGGTTCTGGTGAACACCAAGTTGAACATGAGTCAGCAATGTACTCTTGCTGCAAAGAAGGCCAGCAGTATCCTGGGCTGTGGGAGTGTTGCCAGCAAGTTGACGGGGGTGATCCTTTCCCTATATTCAGTACTGGTGAGGCCAGAGCTGCAGTGCTGGGTCAAGTTCTGGGTTCACCAGTACAACAGAGGCATGGACATACTGGAAAGAGTCCAGCAAAGGGCCACAAGGATATTTAAGGAGGATCTCTCATATGAGGAAGGGCTGAGAGAGCTGGGACTGTGCAGTCTGGAGAAGAGAAGGCTCAGGAGAATCTTATCAATGTGTACCGATACCTGAAGGGAGAGTGGAAAGAGAATGGAGCCAGGCTCTTTTCAGTGGTGCCCAGTGGCAGGACAAGAGGTGATGGGCACACAGGGAAAACCAGGAGGTTCCCTCTGAACACTGGGAAACACTTTCTTATGGTGAGGTTGACTGAGCACTAGCACAGGTGGCCCAGGGAGGTTGTGGAGGCTTCATCCTTGGAGATATTCAAAAGCCATCTGGGCAACCAGCTCTAGGTGGCCCTGCTTGAGCAGGGGGCTGGACCAGATGACCTTCAGAGGTGCCTTCCAACCTCAACCATGCTGTGATTTTTGTAGAAAGCGTTATGTACATCACACGAAGCAAGTATCCCACCTTGAGAGCATGAAAGATTATAATTAATAGTGATCTGGGCTTACTAACAAGAAAACAGATTGGGAGGATGAGATGGGGAATTCGTGAAAACGTGTATATGGAGAACATCACCATGAGGATGAGCAGGAGAAAGAATACAGTGCTGAGAACTGTTGCAGACAGAATACAGAAGAAGGAAAAGAGAGAAATGTTTGACAGAGTGGGGGAATGGAATGGCTGGAGAAGAAAATTAGGATTTTAATAACAAACCTGAGTCGTTAGGTTTGCTGTTCTTGAAAACTGAAGAAATACAAGAATACCACCACAATGTTCAGTACTTGATCTGGAGTGCCAGAACTGACTGACAGTGTATGTACAAACTTTTTTTGGGAGTCTTGTGCATATGCAGTGTGGAACAGAATATAATCATAGAATTATTTAGGTTGGAAAAAACCTTTAAGTTCCTAAGTCCAACTGTTAACCTGTCACTGCCAAAACCACCCCTAAACCACGTCCCTAAGCACTGCATCTACACGTCTTTTAAGCATCTCTGGGGATGGTGACTGAACCACTTGAGTTATGCCCAATAGACATTGTTTTTCCCATAGTATCTGTGGTTGGAACCTGTCTTAAAGGTGAATTAGGGTTGTATGGTGAAGGCAATTACTGTCTGTGGAACATTTAACACCTGTGTCATACAACTGGAAGATAAGTGAATGAGACAGAATTATGCAAAGAGGAGAAAGCTATCCCTTGCTAAGGCATCTGAACAAAGGATTGTTTCCCAAAAACCAGGATTGCTTCCTTGGATGTTCTTTCGGGGAAGGTCAGTCCTTGAAAATGCTGGACAGGCTCCACAGTATCAGTTTGCTTAAATGTTGTGCTTGTCTCTTTCTTGATGCCTGTTTTGTTACTTGTCATAAGTAGAAGTGCTGAGTGTTTGCCACCATCAAATGAATCTGTAGAGTGAACATACAAAATATAAAAAACCCCATATAAAATGCTAAAAAACGTGTCAAAAACTCTATATTTGTCCACCTTAGTTACAAGTATTGAGTATTGGGACTTAAGAGAAATTTAATTTCCTCTGCACTTTTGCTATTCTGTAAGGTTCACAGGTGTTCTTAAGATATTTCCCAGCTTTTAGTTAGTTGTTGAAGTATTGGTGTCCTCTTAGGTGGTCTGGTTGTTTAAGGAACAGCAGTTACATTGTGGTTAATTTTTTTCTAGATGAACTTTCCTTAGGTGTTTCTGAGTAATTTGAAATGAAGTGGCTTTTCACAAGCCAGAAAAGCAAAAAGAAAAAAGTCTATTTTCTTCTAACGTACAATTTCTAGAGAACAATTACAATATAAGTGAATCCTGTCCAAAGTTAATTTGCTATTAATTCTTGTTTTAACTGTGTGTTCCTAGAATAAAATTGATGGGCTTTTCTGCCTTATTGAAAAAAAATTTGTAGAATTTTCCAGTGGGTGAAGTGTAGAATTAAAAATATTTCTGTGGCCAGTAAGGCTGTTGAGCCACTATCGATCAGATCACTTCGAAGACTGCTCTGACTTAAGCAAGCAAAGGGATAAGAAAACTTCTTATACTTTTGTAGGGTCAGGAAAATATCAAGTGGGTTTTAATGAGCTTTTTCTGTCCTGGCTGCTGAGCAGAAGTGGTATTTTGAGGTTGAAAATTCTGACTGTATGTGCAGTATTGACTCAGAAGAATTGCTGCGATGGAGGGAGATGAGAAGGGGAAGATGGGACTTGCGACCAAACGATTGATTAACACTCAGTACATTTATCGTTATGTAAAGTAATTTATTCCGAGGCGATAGATAGATAAAGTGTTAATCAGCTGCCTTTCAAAAGATATCCTTTTCTTAGTGAACAATCAGCCTGAGGTGGACATTTGTAAAAGAGCAAACAGGCAAAAGACATACTACACATGGAAAAAGAATTTTGTATATTGTGTTCTTTCAGCCTATTGCTTAAATCTCTGTACTTTCCATTACCTCAGTGTTGCAGCTGATGGCACCTGATGGACAATAAAAATAACTGTTAACATCCACACGTTTCCTCTTTCTATTAGGAGGAACATACACTACCTAATTGGTGTAGTAAACCTAGTAGGAGGTTTTACTGTGAAACTATTTTATCGTTTCAGGCTTTAATTAAAAAATAAGTAAAGATACTCTGAATGAAATGTATTTATGTAGTGCAGGTTTGATATTTTTGAAATGTAAAGCCTTACTTCTAATTAACAATAGCTTGGAAAAAAAAATTCATACTTTGTCTTATTTAAGGTATAGGTCAGATATGGATGAGGTAAAGTGTTCTTGCTCAAACTGCACTTCAACATAGCAAATTTGGTAGTACTTTATTCTTAACTACCCGTTTTTATTTATGAGTATTTGCTTAGAGCCTCCAGCAAACTGCCTTTAGGAAAAAAGGCAAGGGCCATCTTTTTCAGTTCAAGAAAGGGAAGAGTAGGATATAAAGCAACATTAACCTTATATCCCCAAAGTCTGCTTTTCTGGTGTGTTTTCAGAAGTTTGCAGTACAATCTAATCCATATATTGCAGATAAAACCGCTCCATGTAAATAGGAGATAAAACACTATAAAAGTGCAGAAACATTATTGAATCATCTTTACTTGCAGACTTTGACATTTGAACTATAACTTTTAAAACTGCATTAGTGTCAATTTTCTTTTTATTGTAGAATTACAAATATAATGCCCTACATTTGGTAAACATGAATACTTCTTAATGAGGTCTCACTGAAGTTTAGTGGAAAAGCAATAGCAGAGATGTTTCATATTGTAATATATGTTAGGTTCTTTATAGATAAACAAAAATGAATTGTTCTGCATACAACATTACGGAATTGTTGTCGAGAAATTAATCGATTCTTACATTTCAGTTGTTTGGATGGCTCTTCTGTAAAATCCAGCCCAAAACATTGGTCTTTGCTATTTTAGCATTGATGGCAATAGAGGGATCAGCAAACCTTCAAACTCAGTGGAACATCATGGGAGAATTTAGCAACTTGCCACAGGAGGAACTTCTAGAGTGGATAAAAGTCAATACCAGACAAGGTAAACTAGTTAATAATGTATGATGTTCCCCATTTACTGTGAGATGTAACTATAGAACTTGGTATGAATGACTGCAGAGGTATTGCTGCTATCTGTGGCTTTGCCTTGGGACTGTCCTAAAGCCGTGGTTAAGCGACATGTTCTTGTCCATATAGAAGCTATTGCAAATGAAAAAAACCACTGAAAGCTTGCTTTGTTAGTCTTCAGGCTACCAGCCTGGAGGTTCTAGCCACTGCTGTAGTATTTCTACAACATAAGTAGTTTTGCAAAGTCCAATTAAAATAAATTTTTATTGAAATCCTGGATGTGGGTCCGTGGTCATCATTTTGCTATAAGAGAATTCAAAGTGTGTGGGTTGTGGTCACACCCGTCCTTTTAGTAAAAGGAGTAAAAGTGTCACAAAACTAGCTGGAAACAAAGTAGTTACCTTCTTAGCAGGAAAAGACTTTAAAGCTGAAGCGGACTGAGAGTTTATTGCTCATTTAACAATGGTCTAAGAAGTGACAAATGCAAACTTGTCATAATGAATATGTTATCCTACCCATTCAAGAAAAAGGTGATGTATTAAATCTCTGTTCTTAGATGTTTAGCTATCAAATTACTTATATTGAGTTCAAGGTTTAAAAAAAACCAAGGTGATTTTATGCATCTCTTGTTGGTGCTATGTAAGGCCTTTTCAAAAAGAGAACCCTACCCTCTTTACGTTTTTCTGTAGGATTAGTGTTTAAATATTTGAAGATTGCTTCTCTGCTTTTACTGCTTGATTCTTCATCTCAAACGTGCTTTTCATTCTTTATTTCAGATGCAGTTTTTGCAGGAGCAATGCCTACAATGGCAAGTGTTAAATTGTCTACACTTCGTCCTATTGTAAATCATCCTCACTATGAAGATGCAGGTTTAAGGTAAATTTCGAAGCTGAGGATTTATTTTTATTTGCTACTAATTCTCTTATTGTTGGTAATATACAGTAGGAATGGCATCATGTTATAGTGTAAAATTTATTAAAACCCCATAGAACTTGATTTCTTGTATTAGTCAGATTGAAAACACATGCAGTATTTCTTCAGGATTTGTGTTCATCAGAAAGGATATACGGTAGGATAGATACGGCTTCAAACTTATATAAAAAAATCAGAATATAATTATGGAAATGGAATTAATGTATAACATTATATCCTTTCTTCATTCTAGTTACTCCTGACATTGTAGACAGACTTGATTTTTTTTTTTCCAAGACAGCCAGTATAGTTATTCTTATTAGCTTTCTGTGATTGGTTGTCATTTTATTTCATGAAAATATATCTAATTATGGAAATATTAAGACTAGTTGAAACTGAAATTTTGTGATGGAATTACTGAGTTTTTTACTTTATTTTCAAAAGCAGGATTTTTTTTAAATTGAAATTGATTTATCTGAAAACTAATGAATTTCTTTTTTTAATATCATAGCATCATTTTTTGATAATTTGGTAAAACTGGTTAAAAAAGACACAACAAGAAAACATCAAGATACAGAGTGATAAAGGACAAAAGGAGAGAATTCATTTTACATGCTTTATGTCCTTAGTTCTGTGTCTGGCATTAACTGGCTTTAACTTGGTCAGTGCTGAATAGGTCAGGCAGTTGGACTAGATGGTCATTGTAGGTATCACAGTATCAGAAAATGAACAGGATTTAACAACATCATGCTTTGCACAATCAAAGGAGGATACCACTGGGTAATATAAACAGGATCATGGTTTACAAGTGATGATTTTGCTTGATTCAGCATAGGCAGGCATTAGGTCTTGCATTTGGCATTTAAAAAAGTCGGAACAAGGGCAATGAGTATGACCTTTTGCGGAGAGAATGGGCAGATGATTTCTTCTGATCACCTCCAGTCCAAGCAAGGTCATTTCTAGCCTTGAATATTAGATGGTGAATGCATTGGTTTGGCACCTTTACATATTCTGTTCACAGTAACTGTGGATCTTGTTACAAAGTTGACTCCTGCTACAGAGAAATCAAAGGGATGTATACATTGTTCTTGGAATCGTTGTATTTGTGAAGAAATAATCACATCAAAGCAAATGGCACTGTTAATTTAAACTTTGTTTTAGCCTAATTGTCATGTGAAATAAAAAGCCTTCCTGTCATGTCTAAAGTTAAAGCTTCCATTTTCATTCTATGTTGCTAGCTAACTTTTATATTTCTCTTTTTGAAGGGCCAGAACTAAAGTAGTGTATTCCATGTACAGTCGAAAACCTGCAAAAGAAGTGAAAAGAGAGTTGATAAAACTAGGAGTGAATTACTACATTCTGGAAGAGTCATTGTGTGTAAGCAGAAAAAAGTGAGTAATCTCTCTCCTCACAAAAATGATATGCTGCTCAAATATGTAGTCTAAGATTCATATCAAGTAGTAGTTTTGAAATGTGGATCTATGCTTTATTAAAAGTGTCCAAAATACATTTTTGTCCGGCATCTCCAGATATTATTAAGTATAATTTTACCCACATTAGCAACCTTGTGGTCTTTGTGTGCACCTGAAAAGCTGTGTTGCATGTATTTTTAAACTTCACTGTAAAATACAGAGGAGATTCCCGCAGGAAACAAGTCATTATTTTGTGATGGCAAGAGCAGATGTGTGTTTATAATGAAAGCCTAGTATGAGTAAAAGGTGCAGAGTAAGAGAGAGTTTGAGCACAAAAATATTATCCTATGTGTTTTTCCTTTTTTTTTTTCACCCCTCTTTTTGGCCTTAAAACACAATTAGTTTGGTTCTTTTATTTTCTTTGCATTTAGAATAAAATGAAATGAATCTGTTCTATGTTTTTGCTATTTGAAAAAATTAGGAAAGTCTCATTAATTCTAATTTTGAAAAATAACTATACAGGGAATTGATGTTGGTTATGTGCCTTAATAACAAAGCAAGGAGTCATTACTTTTTTTTTTTTTTTTTTTACCAAGGTGTTTTATTTCCTGAGTTTCCTCTAGAAATGTTAGGAGTTTGAACATCACCCCCCCTGGGTATAGGAAGTTTTAAGGGTCCCTGGTAAAATACATTGCATAATTTGAGTTGTTTTGTATGCTTCCTCCTCCAAATTAATTCTTATTAATTATGTAACCACAAAAGCAGACAAACTTTACACATTCTCAGTACTGTTTTTTAAATTACTACTGTATTTACTGATTTTGTAATCTGATAAGAATTTCTAGGGTAAAGACAAACTTAAAAAATATAGATGACAGGATCAAGTATTCATGGGGGGGTATAAAACTGAGTTCAGCATACTGTATGTTTTTTGATGGCATTTCTTCATTTCTTTTTTCTTATTCATATGTTTTCTAGGCCTGGTTGCAGTATGCCTGAAATTTGGGATGTCGAAGATCCAGCTAATAGCGGCAAAATTCCCTTATGTACCCTTATGAGCAAGGATTCCAGGCCATATTTCATCACAGTATTTGAAAATAGCAATTACAGAGTCTTGAAGATTCCAAAGGAATAACATTTCAATGCAAAGAACGATCAGTCTTTCAACTTTTTAAACTAGTAACTATAAGAATTCTAAATCAGAAATACCTTTTCTACTAGACTTAAAATGGAAAAATGTGTATTTTATTTTTTACCATTTTAAGTGAATTCTGATTATAGAAATATCTTAAACCTAACAGTTTGGATTTCTATTTCAGGGTCAGTCCCTTGAGATTTGCTATGCAAATGATTATATGTTTGCACATTTTATTTAACACTGATCCAAAAAGAGTTAAAAGTAGCTGTGGGAAGTAACTCCATTCTCAAAACCAATGATATTGTGAAATGGGACTGTCAGAATGTCTTAGCAAAGCAAGTTTGTTTAAAGCTTTGGTGCTGGCAGCTGGGAACAAAGGAATGGTGCTATAGCATCTGGCATCACATTTCTCATGTCGCTTTCATTACCCATCTCCCTTCTGGACAAAGCGATACTAGAAATTCTCTTAAAAGTCACATAGTTTGACTAGTCATATCTGAGATAAATAACATTTTTTCTTTGAGAGGAGTAAGAACATTCGCCATTTTGGATCACTTAACACGTGCTTTTAAGCTTGCTTTTGAAATGGAAAAGTTTGTCGGCAGACTCGAAACTTCATTATTTAGGTGCATGTTCTTGGAATCTTATTGATATTAAAAAAGAAGACTAATAAGGGTAATATTTGCAGCGAGCAATAGTTTAGCTTCTCCAAGGAACTTTAGCATTCTTATGCATTCAGAATAAGCTGGCATAATACACGTGAAATTTTTAAGGGAAAATGCTTTATTCAGGAAAAATCTGTCATAGCCTTAGAAAAATACTAAAATAAATCCTTCACTGCCTTAACTAGATCTTCAGCGCCTAACTTGATAAGAAATTACTTTCAAAATTTATGCCCTATTTTCTTTTGCCATGTGTTAGATCCTGCCTGGACTTTATCATCAGCATTAAAGAAAAATGAAACTCAACCCAATTGTCATATGGGTATAGTCAGTTGTGTGGGTATAATTGCTCCAGCAATATTATTCTGTGGTTTTTCTGTCATCTTGGTGTCACACCAATATTATAGGTAATAAAGAATTTAGAGAATTCACTTTCCAAGATACCCAGTGCAAGGACACCCTTTAGACGTTTAACTGACTTGACAGAATTTTTATATGTTTATTGCCATTGGGAAGTATCACAGTAATTGTGATTCTGCAGTATAAGACTTCTAAAGTCTAATGTTTCTCTGTGTATCTTTCATGTTCAGGTTTTGTTTTGGCTTGTGGGTGGTTTTTTTTTGTTTTTTTTTTTTTTTTTGTTTAGACATCAGTCTATTGATGTGACTGGTCTTTTTAGCCCTAATAGCATCTAGAAATATTAGATGCTATAGGAATAGCATCCATCATGCCTGTAACAGTATCAATTAAATGGCAACCTATGATAAAGTAGTAGTGTAACAACTGACTAGTATTCTAAGACTTCTTATTTTTTTAAAATCTGTTTTATTGAGAGAGTGAGGGAGAATGGCTGAAAATGCATTAGCTTTTTAACTTTTACAGAATAGATTTTGGAAAAATTTCTATAAGGAAACTATCACAAAAAGGGCTTTTGGGAAGTCACTTTTTAAAATGTTAATTGAATTCAAGGAAGCAGGAAAAAAATCTTTATATATAAACATTGTGACTAGTGTTACAGCACAAAAAGGTACTGTATTTTTATGAAGTTTATGCCAACTGTTGACATGTACTTATGTGGTTAAATAAAAAAGAAAAAGATGGAAGTTGCTCTCATGTTTCTGATGGATGTTACATTTCTGTTCTTATGTCTATTAAACTGAAGTTTAGTACAGTTGCCACAGATGTGATTGAAGCTGAACCCTCACCTAAACAGTGCAAGGAAGTGCTTCAGATAATTAAACCAAACTCACGCGGCTCTCCAGCTGCCTTTTTATTTGGAATATCGGCACAGGAATATGTGAAAAGACAGTGAGAAAAAGTCAAATACCTGTTTTACACGCAAAGTGAACTTGGAAGGCAATTCAAATTTATTCTCTTTTTGTTCTAAGTTTCTAAACTCAGGTAATCAAGAGTGAAGCCCAAATACTGGTAGAATGAAGAAACATTCTAAAGTTAAGGTTCAAAGATGTACTTCAGTGAAAAAGTTCCCCATTTGACCAGGCAGCTGTTGTTACTGAGTACATGGCCAGACCCTGTTTGTAAATTTTCAGCTTATGTTGAGGGATATGATGCTGCCCCTCACTTTGAACTGGTCTTAAACCCAAATAAATATCATCTAATGTTTAGATGATAAAATCTAGTAATGGAAAAATATGAAGTAAAAAATGCAATATGTGATTGTGGAGAAGAAACATGGTAATTTGTGAGCTGGGCGTATCATGTTATGAATTTCTTGTCATCTCAGTAATTTGCTCTCAATTCCAAAGGAAAAAAATTGGGTTTAAATAACACAACATTTTACACATAGGAGCACCGTGTTAATGTTAGGCTTATCACTGCAACTTGAAAAAGAAAACAGAAGTTTGAGATTTCTTAGCTCTCACTGAAGTTGTTTCTCCCTTTGCAAGATCCGAATCCGTAAATCTGTAACCCAAGTAAGTTCATTTTATAATATGCACCGGCCTTGACGTAATTTAGGCACAGGAATGGAATACTACAGGACCAGAATACTACAGGACCTGAAAACAGTTTCTGTTATGTTCTAGTAATACTGGATCATAGAGATTTGTCTGGTAGAATCTGAAATATTGCTAGCTTTGAATGCAGTAAACTTCTTCATTACAAAGGGCACATTTACAATTTGGTATCAAACTTCTGATAATTGTGCAAACTGTAATATTTAGTATGGAGACGAAATGACTCACCTTTGTGAAACCAAGGTGCTAAGTCCTGTTCCATACTGCCTTGCACTTCATCATTCTCATCTGCCATTTAAAAAAAAAATGGCTTTGATTTTGCCTTTTTTTTTTTTTTTTCCATTCAGCTTAAACAGGGAAACTTCCTCGCTGAGTATGTCTTGGATTTTTCTGATTAAGATACCAAGTTCCATAACCCAGGCTCCAAGATAAGTAAAGAAAACTCCTTCAGCAAAAGCAAATAGGTAAGGAAGAGTATAAACACAGGGTTGTCAGAAATCAGCATTGCTGAAAGCCATTACAAAATGCTAATTATGGCTTAGGACCTGTGTTCTCAGATTGCATTTTTGCATAGTTTCTATGGAATCCTAGAATCATGAAAAAGGTTGGAAAAGATCTTTAAGATCAAGTCCAACCGTATAATGCTGTTATAACAACCTGTAAATGCTGTTGTTACACTGAAGTTACATGATGTGAAAGGCTTGTAGTAAAACAACATATTTTTAAACCCAAAAGAATAAGGTGCTCCTGGACTGTTTTGAGCAGCTGGCCAAAGGGGTCCAAACCCTAACTGACAGCAGTGCTTTTCTGTGTAAGCTTTGTCATTGTACCATGAGAAAAGAGAAGGATGGCGCATGTGGTGTGAAAGGAAGACTTTACTGTATGAATATTAATAGAGTTAAAGAATAACTATACTTGGAGTGAAAGTAGGACTGGGGACAGAATATGGCATGCAAAACTTCTGAATCTGAGAACTGGTCAGCTGTGGGGGAGTTGCTTGGGCAGTGAAACCTCTCAATGCTGTGATAAATTCTCAGCGTAGCTATATGACATAAGCACTTCTTTTTCAGTACAAAGTCAAAGTGAAACGTTATGATAAACTGTCTGTAGCAGAGCTTTAAGCTGACCTGTTGGGTTGGAGCAGAAGAGCAGAAGGATTTACAGGGCTAGGCAGAATGTCCTTCCTTCTCAGCAAATGGGACTGTTTCTGATCTTGTGCTGTAATTCTCCATTATTGACGAAATTCATATAGTGTCTGAATTGTTGGTTGAGTGGGTTCATCATGTAGTAGTTCAACAACTTTATTACTTCCTATTACAGCATGTATAGAACATTTATTGCCAATAGATCATGAGATGTGGATAGAACACAGCGAGTGAACGACTAACACTGGTTTCACATCTGGCTGAGGACCCAGGCAGGATCCCTGTGGCCATCTCCCACCCTATTGATGTAGAAATTGATTCTCGAGTGCAAGCAGCGCTTGTGTTGCCTGTTTGGCTGGAAGGATGAGATCAAGCTTTTAGCTTGAAGAATACGTAAACGCTTACTGGATCTCATTTAAAGGTAATACTGAGCCTGAAACAGCACATCTGAAGGGAAAACCTTCGTCCTTTTGATGTTCATCTGAAAGGACGCAAGTCACTCGAGTTCATTCTTCAGGCTTGACCAAGCTTATTTTCAAAGCCAGTGCACCAAGTTCTTACTTTCGTTCCTAATTATTACCGTCTTCAGACACCTGAGCAGCATCATCTTCATGTTACTGAGCAACTGGTTGCTCAGCTTCTCTTGACTACGAGTCCCTAGAGTCTTAGGATGCACTTAGCAGATATCATTTGCAAGCAGCTAGTGTTTTGCTGTGGATATCTCCACCTGAGGTCTGCAAAACATCCTAGCCTCTTCTGAACTACTGGCTTTTATAGTTTAACTGTTTCTAAAAATCCAGTTTGCTTTTTTTTTTTTTTTAGCTAAACAAAGGTAGCAAAGGCTGAAAATACCCCAGAGTACAATGCCTCCTATTTATTTCCTGAATTAGCTTTACGATGGTGCTTGAATTACTGCCTTGCTTTTCCTTGATCTTCATTGTCAAAATATAATGCATCTATATTTGGAGAAGTTTATCTTCCACAGCTCATAAAAAATAACCTAAAGTTAGAATCAAGCTTAGTAGCTGGGTAGAGTAGAAATTTTCTTATTCCTGGAGTGTTTCAAAGGTCATTCAACTCAACACATGAGTTTTATAAAAGCACTAGGAGTAGATGTTTTACTTAACCTTAGTTTTCTTTGTTTTAAATCCCTGCTGTATTTAGCTGCAGTTACTATGCTACAGGGCGCTACATCCAGGATCTTTGATTTGATACCTTTTTATTACATTATTTAAAAGGAATAAATATTTTGAGACGGGAGAAACCGTAACAAGATGATCAAAAGTAAGTTGTATTCCACAACTTCTTTATTCAGCACTTTAATCCTAGATTTTACTACACTCAATGCTTAAAATCAATCAAATGTTACTCAGCAAGTGGTGCTGTCAGAATCTGTAACTAATTTTTAAACTAATGAGGTCTTGGCT